CTAAGAACACGCTTATCTCCCTGAGCCTGGCCTTCATAATTCCATTCCATCACAACAGAGGCCAATTAGGCACAGTCCTTCTCTAGTGCTGAGTTCTGTATCTGCGGCATAGACTGGATTATATAAAAGAGGGTCGGTGACTCTCATATCCAGTCTTGTTCCTTTCGAATAGTGATATTCTCCTGTCTCGCCAGGTGTCTTTTCCTAGCCTGTATCCAGTATACGTTGATCAGGAATAGAGTTAATACTATTTTAAAGTCTGATCTAATGGGGAGCACTCTGACATCTATTCTACCAGTGCTAAGCCTTGCTGAAGGAAGCTGAATTTGTTGGGTTCTCTCTTCTCAGATTCCACTAATCAGTACATCCGTGGGTGTAGCAGTGTGGTGCCTGTGGATGGCATCTACCCATCTGGACTTCACTCAGCACTTGTGCTGATAGGAGTATACAACCGTCACTCGGGTGAGCCTGTCCTTGGCATCATCAATGAACCCTTCTTCCGGGAGGAGCTGCATTATAACAGCTGCAGGTAACAATGGCATTATGGGTCACTCTTGCCTGCCTGGGCCAGGCTGGCTCAGCTAGGGTTGGCTTAGCCCTGGAATTCTCCCTTTCTCTTTATGGTACATCAACATGGATGCAGATGGAAGATGAAGCAGACTGTAGAGGGCATAGGGAATGGCCTTGAAGGACAGAGGAAGAGCCACTACCAAGGCACTGATTAGACAAGTGCAGCTTGAGCCCATTCCAAGAAACTAACTTGAGAAAATGCCTCAGACGGGCCCCTCCCTAGTTCATACAAAGATAAAGTGAGGAGGGAAGCACATTCAGACTTGCAAGACTTAGTTATTATAGCTGTAACAATAATGGTAATCCTCATCTATATGAGATTGGTTTCTTAGTCTGGTCTACCTTATAGGGCTGACACAAGCCCACTACTTGGGGTGTCTGTTTAAGTCCATGGTTGCTGTGGACCTGTTCCTCTTCACTCAGACTGGCCAGTCACAGACTTTAGAGGGGCAATGGGATAACTGCCCAGGCTCCACTTATAGAGAGGGGTTTATCCAAAGAATGTTCCACTGAAACAATCGGGTGGATCAATACTTTTCATTCAAGAGAGTAAAATTAATCCATCAAAATATAAGCCCAGGAGCTATAACAGTATTTCACATTGCCTACGATATGTACTCTTGTTTACTGGGCCACTGACTTCAATGGGCAAGAAACAATGGATACAAAAATTATATTGCTATAAGATGCAGTGAAAAAAAGAAAGGGGAGCTCAAATGAACATTCTTCCTTGGGCCTCTCAGAGCTTTTAAAAGATCTGCATTTTTCTACACCTAAGGAATGGCCCAGACCTTGCCGTAGGCTTAGTACAGCTGCCACGAACATCAATTACTGTGTAAAAATACTCCACCAAGTGGTTCCTGTAGTGTTCCCTTTCCTTTGCCTCAGAAAACATTTGTCCCTCTTCCTGTCCTGGCTCCCCTTTTCCAACTAAGCAAAGGCATTGCTCCTCCCAATTGCTGCATTCTCCTCTTGCAATACTGACTGCCACCCAGGCCGCCTTCTTCAACTTACTCAAGGCTTTTTCTCAAAAGCAGCACTATTATTATTCAACTTTTTGAATATTTATTTATCTGTTTATGCAATTTCTATAGTCACCCATCTCAATCCAAGTGACTCTTGGATATATAATTCAAGGCAGCGAATGTACCTAATACACCTGCCTCCTATTTTCCCCACAACAACAATCCTATGAGGTAGGTTGGGCTGAGGGAAAGTGACTGCTGTTTCACCCCAATCTTGATTTTACAAAATGGTGGAGCTTTTCCTAGCAAAGCTACGCTGACCCTTTCCCTTTGGCAGATGGCAGAGCAAATACCACTGGGGCATTTCCTACGGAGGCACCAACCTAAGCTCGCTGAGCCCACCCCAGCAGCGGCCTTCCCCCCGTGGGGTGTTGAGCAGCAACGAGACAGTGGCGCTGCAGGAAGCGCTGGCCCCTCTATACGGTGAGCGGCTCTGCTTTGCGTCCGGCGCTGGCTACAAGATGCTCTGCGTCGCCCTGGGCCTTGCTGACGCTTACGTGCTTTCGGAAGGCAGTACCTTCAAGTGGGACTCGTGCGGCCCCCATGCCCTTCTGCGAGCCCTCGGTGGAGGCATCGTGGATCTTTCAGCGGCCCTGCAGGCTTGGCGTGCCGGGCAACGCAAGCGGTTGCCCGAACTGACCTATAACAAGCCCGTCGAGGACTCCGTGGGTGCTGAGCGCTGGGCAAATCAAGGAGGGCTCGTAGCCTACATTTGCCACAAACATCTGGAGGCTGTGATGGCCACACTGGCAAATGCAGCAGACATTTTCTAACACACAGCCCCATCAGTGCAATTTGGTGGGAGGCCTGCCTGTGCATGAGGGGCAGGAAGGCAGTCTCTCAGTGACTCTAATATTTTAATGGACCAATCAGATATTGATGGTGGCAATATGCCAACCTGGGATAGGGGTGGTACAGACGTCATGCCTTTGACCTGCTTTTCCTCGCTGGCTGCATCAATAAAAACTCTTCTTCCCATGCAGGGCAGGCACTAGGGCAAGTATTTCTTAAATTGTTCCCCTTCTGTTCTTGGTGTGTCATTTCTCTTGCGTGGGTAATATGTATCATAGATAACACAGCAAACGTGCACTGGGACCTTTAAATAATCTCTGTTTAGGTGCCCCTCGTGTTCGGCATAGGGTGCCGCACAGGATTTCTTGCTGCTGCTTCCTGGACAGGCACAATTTCTGCAATGCTTGTGATGCACAGACTGGATTAAGTAGCAGCAAAGCAAATGTAGCTTGAGCTATGAGGGACTATGGGATTTATGGTCCTGCTTCATGTTAGGAAGCAAGTTTAATCAGTCTTTGGATCCCTTGTAACACTGTGAGGAGCATCGACAGCTAGCATTATTTAACCTAAAGGCATTTTCTCTCAGAGGAAACTCTGAGAACTTCAGTTCTCTGGAAGGGGACCTGGGCTGGAATCTCTAATAGAGAGGCTTTGGGGAAGGCGTCATGGCATGTGAATATATATAAAATTGCTATATAATGCGAATATATACTGCAATTTGGGAAATTTTCTCCCATGCCACTATCCTATGAATTTATGATTTATCTTTGGCAATCTGATATGGTGGAAATTCTTGCAAATTAATCAAAGCAGTTTCCTGAGGATCTGTATTGTTTTATTTTTAAAGCATGTTTATTTAAAAATGTATACTCTGCAAGTGACAAAAGAAACATTAAGAATTCATTCAGGGAGGAAGGGAAGAAGGCATGGACAGTATTCAGCCAAACATTTCTTTATTGCCATCCATACTTCCTAGGCATCTAATTAATCATTATAAACAAAAATCATAAACTGTTAAATTTAGGTACCGGGACTAGATTCATTAAATGAAAGCTGAATCAAATTACAGGTTTAATTTAGATACAGATACAGATTTAGATTTAAAAATGGACTAGAAATCATCACTGCAAAGTACTAATTTTGTAAAGTATATGTTTACTTTTTATAAAGGCCTTGCAGTGTTTTTTTTAACAGTAGAGTATATCTAAGATCAAAATTGTACAAAGCCTTCTCAGTTCTTTTTTTCAGACATTGTATCTGGACTATTAAATAAGATAATATTATAATAAACAATATATTTGAAAGCATTAAGTGCTAGTTTATCTTCTGTCATGGTAATTAATTTAAAATAAATTGGTCATGTTAGGATAGCCATTATTGCAAAGGCCTTGGCAGAATACTCCTTTAGCTGAGCTGCTTGCTCAGTAATTATATGCTAGTGGAGTAGCTGAAACGTGGTAGCATTAATAAGCAGTACGTAACCCCAAGTTAAAGAGCGCACTTGTGCTAGATGTCCTCCAGACCACAGTCATGCCTGCCCTCATCAATGCACCCTTATGACTAGATTCAAGTATGACTTAAGCACCACACATGCCTTGGTTTAACCATGGTTTGTCCAAGCCCCAGTTCATTGGGTTTGCGCAACATGAGACACCATTATCAGGTGTTTTAACCCAGAATAGCTGGGTTCACACAACATACTAAGTCAGAGTCAAAGGTAAAAAAGGGCAGCTGATTATATCCAGTCCATCACCAAAGCAATACAAGAAGATAGAAAACAAAAAAGATTCCTGAAAGACGTGATTGTTCATAAACAACAGTATCATGATACTGGGAATTAGGTTTTCAGTCACACAGAGGCTGAATACAAGAAGCACCATTTTTAGAAACTCTAGATTCCCGACATTGTCCTTACTGTAAGTAGGGAAAGTTGCATATGACACAGATATGGCTAAGACTGATAACCTAGTTTACACATCCTCTGTTGGCTGAAAAACATTATGTGATTGATTAAAGCCGTGATGGGTGGTGGAAATCAGTACCTATGGCCCATCTGGTGATAACCAAGCCATATAGAAGACTGAGATTTGAAAGAAGAGTAGGTAGAAAAAAGCATGAAATGAATGAATGAAAGAAAGAAAGAAAAGAAAGAAAGAAAGAAAGAAAGAAAGAAAGAAAGAAAGAAAGAAAGAAAGAAAGAAAAATAGATATGTATATTATGTATCTGTGAAACTATGAGAAAGGGGAAGGATGTAATAGACCTGCATGAAGAAGCCTGATCTTGTGGAATGCAGTTGAGGACATGCAGGGATGCGAAGGGTTAGATTTAAATATGAATGAAATTTGTATCAGAAAATATTAGCTGGTGCTGCTGTGAGTGCATATGAAAGTAGAAATGCATAGATCAGCAGCTGGCGATAGCTACATCTTATGTTTCAGTGAATGGTGATAATGAAAGAACTGGAAATGAGTTTGGGGAAAAACTGTCCAACATTCTGCATGAACGTGATCCCAGGGAGAATTTATTCTGCTAGGTGACATGGGTAGATGGGTGGAACAAGATGATAGACCTCAGAAAAAGTAATTCAGCCATTTGGAAGCCCAAGAGTACGTGAGAACAGTGACTCTCTGGGGAATATCTGCTTAGTAAAAGGTCTGTTTGTTTTGACTAAGCATAAGTCCATTCATCCATACACATGGAAAAGGAGTTAATCAAAAAGCAGGATTCTTTGTGATGAAAGAGTTAGAGAATTAGTGAGGATACAAGGACGATGAGATGTTCTGAATGTGGGAACAGACCATTAGTTGGGAGTGTCAAGAATGGATCTTGGGGAAAATGGACATGGAAGAAAAGAAAAGTGAAAGAAATGAGAGTGAAAGAATACTATAAGAAGCAAAAGTACAAATCATGTATGAAAAAGTATTAGCTTAATCTCTCAGTACATAGAAAGTAGACAAAAAGGAAAGAGGTTGTGAAAACTGCTTGGGTCAGAGCATGACAATCTGCTATGAGGAAATATGGAAAGGAAATGTTCAGTAGAGTGATGAAGTGAAAGAGGCTGTGGATGTGAAAAAATGCATCAATTGTAATGGAATGACTGCTGCAAAAATGAGAATGAAAGAAAGATATTGTATACTGTGTATAGAGCTAGAAAGATAGTTGCAAGGATGCAGTCAGCAAGAAGAAAGAATGTTAAGATCAAAAGAAGCGAATGTAGAGCCATTTTGATGTAAATGTAAAGGGTGCTAAAGAAGAAGCCTCCAACAGAGGGACAGGAATTAAAAATAAAAGTGATGGAATGAGTTAGGATGAAAGTGAAATAAGAGAATGCTGGAATAACTTAGAGTTTGTATGGAAATATTAATGATGTGACAAGGAAATGGAAATAAATGCAAAAAATGTTTGTGTCCCAGGAAGAATTGATGCAGAAATAATGGTGAGACTGCAGGTATGAGAGGCAGTTCTCGCAGAGTGAAAGAGCAACCGTCTCACATCCCGACTCAGTATTGCATAAACGAGAGACAGACGGAAACTGGGCCTCCTGCTCAAAAGGAGGCGCAGTACATACAATATGTAAATGTTGGGGCTGGTTTTGAAAAAAGCAATTGCCAAAATTCTTCCGTAATGACATCACTGTTTCTTGTACAATAAACTAATTTGACTGCAGTTCATGAAACCTAGTCTCCTTATTTAATTGATTCCTGCGTGCCTGCCAGGTGAAGTCTGGCAGAAGAGCAGACCATGTCATTGAAGAAATGTCAAAGTATGGGTATAATTTACTTATGGAAAGGCTGTATGACATTGTGAAGTTTACATCCATGCCTGAGGATTGGAAAAGAATATACTGTAGTTGCCGTTCTCCTCCACAAAGGGCAAGCTAATAATAAGAGTGAAAGCAAAAACTACAGATGGGTTAGTTTGTCTAGTGCCCTAGGAAGCTGTGTGGCAGAATTCGAATGGAGTGCATAGCAGAGGCTACAATGAGCAAAATTTACAAAGTACATTGGGACTTTATGCTGTGCAAGGGGTATGTACACCAGTTTTGCTTTTCAGCAGGTCACTGAGAAATGTATGAACGTGAGAAAGGGAGCTTATGATACAGAGAAATTATATGACAGGGAAGAGGAATAGAATATTTTGCCTAAATAGGGACAAATGCAAAGAGGACAAATGACAAAACATGCATGAGGATGTTGTCACTCAAAAACAAAGACTTAAGTTCTTGCATTGAATGTCAGGATGTAAGTATCTAATGGCATTTGCATGTTGGCATCACCACATATGTATCATTGTTTTGTATCATAGTTGTTTCCTGCAGATGAAGCTGAGTTGAAGGTTGGTTGCTAAATGCAAAATAAAGCAGAGAATAAGGGACGTATGATGTCTTGGTTGTTTAATGCGTTTATGGATAAATGTATAAGAGATGCTTGTGGCGATGTTAAAGGTGTGTTGGTTATGAATGTGAATGTAAGTGTACCTTTGTATGCTGAGAACTCAAATGGTTTCCAGTAAATGTTAGGTAGATTATACGATGCCACAAGGGCTAGGGATCTGAAAATTAATGTATCAAACTCCAAAGCAGTTGTGTCTGACAGGGAAAATGGAGTGAATGACTGCAAGTCATAAATAAATAGTACCCCAAGAATGTGTATATGTTGGTAGAATATTTACTAAAAATAAGAAAACAGGAGCAAATGCTGGTAGAAAGGTAGCAGGTAATACATGGTCTCTTGTGAAGAATGAACATTTGTTGAAAGAAGTGCCAGTGGATTTGTGTAAGAGTGTTTCTGCCCACTTTGTTATATGACGTGAGAGTTGAGTATGTCAGGGTAAATATTGATTTCTTTGGTTTATATCCTGCCTTTAGTCTGTACAACTCAAGGCAGCATACATAACGCTCCCTCCTTCTATCTTCCCCACCATAACAACCCTGTAAGGTAGGTTGAGCTGAGAGATAGTGACCGACCCAAAGTCACCCAGCAGGTTTTCCACGCCTAAGGGAACTTGTTAATCCCTACACCAAACTGGCAAAAACACATAATCACAAACTGAACGCTGTTGGGATGGGATACTTAAGAAGTACATGTGGTTAAACAAGAAGAGATGAGGCCCAGAATGTATGGGGTCTGAATGAATGGAAAGTGAGTGAATAAGGATCAGAAAAGAAGTAGACTGAGGTGGTTTGGTCCTACAGAGAGAATGAATGAGGAACAAATCACAAAGAAGAGCAAAGAGGTCAGGAAGAGGAAGACCATGAGCTGTGGTTTATGGAAGTCCTGAGATTATGAAAAAGAGAGAGGAATAAAGAGAAAAAAGAGTGTAGGAAGCAGATATAGATATGATGGAAGCAAGGATGGTTTGCAGGGATTGAAAGATATGGAGGAGAATAATGAACAACGTTAGTTTAAACTGGATTTATTTATTTATTTCTGCATTAATTCAATTTATACAGCTGCCCATCTCACATTCGTGACTCTTGGTGACTGACAATTAAAACATAAAAAATAACAAAAAAAACCCAAAAATAAAGTAGCCATACAAACAATACAATTTAAAAACAATTAAAATAATTAAAAACCCTACAGGACATCACTGGGGAGACCACAGTCATTCAAGAACTATACAGCCATTTTATGGGCTCCACACCACTCTCTGATCCCCAGGCCGGGCAGATGGCGAAGCCAGGTCTTCAGGCCCTTCTGGAAGGCCGTCAAGGTCAGGCCAGCCTGACCTCAAGGGGGAATGATGTTCCATAGGGCGGATCTAACTATAGGATTTAATTATATTTCTATTTCTTTTTCTTGTCTCATGATTTTCATTTCTTTTGCTTACTCTTTCTAGCAATTTTTCTGGGTGCAAAGGGTTGCTTATCCTGAAAAGCACCATTGTACATGCTGTAATGGATAGGCGTGTAGTTTCTCAGATACAGCATCCTTTGCTTTTAGAAGTTGCTTGCACGCTTTCAGTGCATGTCTTTGCCTTGAGAGGGCACCGTTGCTCTTCCCGACTGGGTGCTAAATGAGCGGCAGCTGAACTGAAGGCCAGTTAGGGGGCAAGCTTTCACCCATCATTTAATATCTCATAAGGTGGAGTTGGCTTGATTCCAAGTTTATCTACTACATTTTCTGTTTGAACAGGGAGGCTGTTAACAGAAAAGTGGATGCAGTGTGGTTTGCTGTACACAATTACAGGAAATGATTTGTTGATAAAAATACACTTAATGGGTAGTGTAATGTGAGGTGACTCTTGTTTCAATACTGAAGAGATGCTAGAAGGAAGGGGGATGTATTTTTAGCATTTAGTAAGCTGAAAGTCTCAACCTCTTTTTAAAATACATTTTAAATAGCAAATGGGAAGGCTAAATAAGATTATGGGCTTCAGAACTTTTCCCCTTTTGATGATCTTGAAAAGGAAAACAGAGTTAGGCTTGGCTAGCACTTGGAGAGGAGGTTTCTGGTGGATTGGGGAGTGAGAAAATGGCAAATCATTTCTGTATTTTAACCAAAAAAACATTATGGACATGTCCATGAAACCACTAGATGTGAAGGCAACTTGACTATCTTATACTGTAGGTCAGTTGACTTGGAATAAATTATATGAATCTGCTTCACTGGCAGAGTCTTCTTGGCTAAATCATTCCTTTAAAACACAGACCATACACAAGATGCCTGTAGTTTCAAGTGACAGCTATTCAATATCCTGGCAGACAAACTGCTTTGTGCTCTTTTTAAGAGCAATTTTGGCAGCCCCAGATCAGAATGTTTGAAGAGAGGACAGTTGGCAAAGGGTTACAGTTAAAGCTCAACTAATACAGATTAATTGTCTTACAAAAGGCTATATATACAAAGGTGGACAACAGGTAACTGGTAAATAAGTTACCTGCATGGCATCTGGATTGATTTTCTGTTAGGGGATGGTGGAGAGAGATTCTGAACAAGACATCTAAGCAATAGCCAGGAGAAAAGAGGCGAATTTAAGAGAAGGTACAAAGGCCCACACTATGGAGAACTCACTTCCAAAAATGCTTCAAAACCTCATTTGAGAAAACAAATACATTTCATAGATACTACAAGGAACTGAAGCATAGTTCATATTGCACTGGATATTCAATGGACAGCATGAATTAGCCTTCTATCTGTGAGTGTCGTTTTGAAAATAATTTAAGAAATCAGTATAAAAATACAGGACAGTCCAGGGTCTTGTCTAGCTAAAATAACTGCTGGAATTTACAGTGGGAAAGACAGCTGGCCACCTATGTTCCACCATATCTATGTATGCAGGTTTGTGAAAAGAAGGAGGAGATAGGATTCTGTATAACTCCTCCTGCACTGCTTCCTTAACTGTTGTTGTTTTTTTAAATTATATTTTTATGTTGTCATTCATCCAAGGGCTAAAGATGGCATACGTGTTTTCTTCACTCCCCATATCATATTTTCATATAATATATGTACTATATTAAGCAGGAGTCATACATTGTGCTAAGCTATTCTCTCTTTGAACTACTTTTTGTTGACCAAGCCATAAAGTTCTATATATTGCACTAAGCTGAAAACAAATCTCATTATGACTTTAGATTCTACATTTGTGCATCTTCTTATGAGTTACATGGCTCCCAGCATCCTCACCATTGATTACGCTCATAGGCATCTGGGGGATAAGAGGCGCAAAACTAAAAGAACACTATGAATTTATATAGAAAGAAGAGGCAAAAACAAAATAGGCTCCTTTGAAGTGAATGTATATTCTGCAGATGCTTGTTTTTCATTTATTTTTCTGCGGACTTAACTAGAAAACAAACAGTTCAAAAGGTTGTTCGCAATCTTTCCCCTTGTATCTTAATCCGTGGCAGTGATTGCAAGAAAGTAAAGTTGTCCACAGTTCAGTTAAAGAGTGTTCTGTTACCAGAATTTCATGTGGACTCTGGAGACATGTAATAGGAGACTGAACAAATAACACCAACGTTTGGTGCTGGTTTCATTTAGTCCATCAGTGAAGTTGTCCAACCTGTTACGTGCCACTGTGAAAAGCTGAATGATTATGTGCCATCAAGTTGGTGTCGGCTCTTAGCAACCACATAGATATCTCCAGGAGGATCTGTCTCAAATCTGATCCTTCAGATCTTCCAAAGATGCACCAATCACCACTAACTGAGTCCATTCACCTTTCTGCTGGTTATTCTCTTCTCTTTCCTTCCACCTTTCCCAGCATTACAGACTTCTCCAGAGAGCTAGGTCTTTGCATAATGTATCCAAAGTATGGTAATCTGAGCCTGGTCAGTTGTGCCTTAAGTGAAAACTCTGGGTTGATTTGTTCAAGGAACCATTATTTGGGGGAGGGAGTATCCATGGTATTCTCAAGTGCTGAAGTTAGAGAGCCAGTTTGGTGTAGTGGTCAAGGGACCAGGCTAGAAACCAGAAGACCAGGAGTTCTAGTCCTGTCTTAGGCACAAAGCCGGCTGGGTGACCTTGAGCCAGTCCCTCTCTCTCAGCCCTAAGAAAAAGAAGGCAAGGTCAAACCACTTCTGAAATCCTACCAAGAAAACTGCAGGGACTTGTCCAGGCAGTTGCCAGGAGTCAAAATTGACTTGAAGGTGTGCATGCACACACACACAAATAGTATTCTCAGGAGACCTCTCCAGCATTAAAGTTCAAAAGCTCAATATTCTTTCTATCCTGCTTCTTCAAAGTTCAATTTTTGCTTCTATAGAGTGTCACGTGGAAAACCATTGCCTACATGATTCTGATCTGTGTAGGTATAGACACATCCTGGCATCTGAATATCTTTCCAAGGCTTTCATTACTACTCTACCAAGGGCCAATCTGACTTTTCTTGACTTCTAGTTCCTTGACTGTTAATAGTTGATTCTGTAAGGCAGAAACTATCCACTACTTCAATATATTCATCATCTGGTTGCTGTACCTGTTGTCATCAGGCTGGTCTTCTTTATATTTAATCTTAGCCCCATTTTTTCACAGTCCTCCTTGACTGTTATTACAAAGCTTGCAGATCCTTTACACTTTCATATATCAAAGTAATATCATCAGCATAATGCAGGTTATTGATATTTCTTCCTCCAGTTTTAAAACCATGCACATCTTCTACTCCACCTT